ACGAGCTTTTCGGATTGAGGGCGGGCCGTTTTCAATATGTGGCTCTCGCCTTAGCGCCGCGCGAGTTCGTTTGATACATTTGCAAGAGTTCCACGGATTGAAGACGAGCCGTTTTCAATATGTGGTTCCCGCCTTAGCGCCGCATGCATTCTTTAAAACAAGTTACACAAACGTCTAGGATTGAGGGTGGGCCGTTTTTTGTAATATGACTCTCGTCTTAGCGCCGCGCACATCCGTGCTCTCGCCACAGCGCCGCTACATTCGTCTTGACAATTTACAAGAGCTTCACGTATTGAGGGCGGTTCCTTTTCAAACTGTGGCTCTCACCGTAGCGCCGCGCACATGCTTCAAAACTGCGCGAGGGTATCATGTATTCCCATGACCAGCGTACCACAACTTGTGCTTTGGAACAAACAACTACGTAACCATAAACTATCCGAGGTCCGCGCGAATATCTTGGACATGCGCTGGATCCTCCTCCCTGGCGCGCGGAACGCGCCAGGGGCGGCGCCGGAGGCGCCACCACGTGGGCCCAACGCCGATCCACGAAATCCGCGCGGATCTCTGAGAAATTACACGGCGGTCGGAAGAGGTAGGTAAAAACATGGAGTAGGAAGGCGGATGCAGTAGATTGGGTTCAAGCCCTCCCAGAGAAGAACAAACACGCAGCAAAAGCACATCGACTCTTGAAGGAGGAAGGCGCGTGTCGAATAGATTGGGATCTGGGAACGCAGAAATACACCTACTTTTAAAGACTGGCGTGTATGCCAATGTCGTTTTTTTTGAACAAAAATCAGAGTGCGCGCCAAGGGCGCGCCGGAGGCGCCGCCGGGGTGGCGGAAGGGGGGGGTAGGGGGGGGTCTGGCTCCGTACCTCTGCTTCGTGCGACGGTCTGCATCAGTGCGTCTGACGGGGGGGGGGTCCAACCTCTCGAAGATCGGCAAAACAGTGAATAATGGAACCATCACCAACAGTTCCTGTTTGTTGGAGGGGCCCTCGGACAATACCAATATTCCCCAGATGTTCTGGGTTGGTGTCGTCCCCCCCGACTTCTCATATTTTTTAAAATCTATTCCTGGGAATCGACGATGAATTGTCTCTGTGTGTTTCCCCCTGATTTATGGCGTGCTTTCTTCTTCGATTTGAGAATGGACAGACCGTCTCCGCATTTCTATGGGCCTACCACAAAATGTTCTTAGAACCCAGAAATGTTCAAAGCAAGAACAGTGTTCTTAGAACACAAACCCTATGTGTTAAATCAAAACAGTCCCAGCCAGAAATGTTCTAAGAACATTTCATGGAAACCACAAAAGGTTCTTAGAACATTGTTTGGTAGGCCTATAGGCGAGCCGGGACGCTTCGCCCCTGCTTGATCGATGCATGCTGCTGCCGTTCTGTTGCTCTCCGACGAGGGCCCCGCGAAGGTTGTGGCGGCTTGCTTCTCGTCGGACCCATGGCGACCAGCCAGGCGGCGAGACGACGACGACAACGAGCGACGACAACGAGCGACGACGAGCAACGACGACGACGACGACGACGAGGACGAGCGACGATGACGACGAGCGACGACGACGACGACGAGCGACGACGACGACGACGACGAACGACGTCGTCGTCTCCAGCCGTGGCGGCGAGCAATCTCCCGCGGCAGCAGAGCGCCGCCGCCGGCCGCCGCTGGCCGCCGCTCCGCCCCACCGCCGCAAAGGGGCGCGCGGCCGCCGCGGGCATGCACTGCGCCGCACTCGCCGGTCGGTCGCTGCCGCCGCCGCTCCGCCTCATCCCTCCTCCTCCTCCTACCTCCTCCATCCTTCCTCCTCCCTCCTCCTCCTCAGCCTTCCTCCTCCCTCCTCCTCCTCCTCCTCCTCCTCCTCGTCCTTCCTCCACTTCCCTCCTCCTTCTCCTTCTTCTACTCCCTCCTCCTCCTCCTCCTTCTTCTCCTCAATGCTCCTCCTCCTTCCTTTCTTCCTCCTCCTACTCCCTCCGCCTCCTTCTTCTCCTCAATGCTCCTCCTCCGCCTTCCTCCTCCTCCTCCTCCTCCTCCTCCTCCTCCGCCTTCCTCCTCCTCGCTCCTCCTCTTCCTCCTTCTCCTCCTCCTCCTCTCATGCTCCTCCTCTCCTCCTCCCTCCTCCCTCCCTCCCTCCCTCCTCTCTCCTCCCTCCTCCTTGCTGCCTCCTGACTCCTGCCTCCTCCCTCCTTCCTTGTCCCTCCTCCTCTCACTCCTCCATCCCTCCACTTCCAGCCTCCCTCCTCCCTCCCCCCTCCTCCATCCCTCCTCCCCCCTCCCCCCTCCCTCCTCTCCTTCCTCTCCCTCCCCCCCCTCCTCCTCCGCCTCCTCCTCCCGCTCCTCGGCCGCCGACGCTCGCCGCGCCTGGAAGAGGCCGTAGAGGATCGCCACGAGGGCGAAGAAGCGCGTGGCGTCCGTCCAGTACTGGCCCACCTCCAGGTCGGGGTCCTGGGGCAGCGCGCCGCCGCGAGAAGCCCCCGTGGGCCGTCCGGGGCTGCGGCGCGGCTCGCCGCGAGGACCGGGGCCCCCGGCTTGCCTGGCTCGGGAGGAGGAGGAGGAGGAGGAGGAGGAGGAGGAGGAGGAGGAGGAGGGGGAGGAGGAGGAGGAGGAGGAGAAACAAACGCCACAGCTTCACGCTCAGGCTGGTCAAACGTAAAAGGAGGTGGAGGAGGAGGCGGAGGAGAGACGAGTAGGAGTAGGAGTAGGAGTAGGAGTCAAGCTAGCCAGCTCGAGCGAGTCAAGCATGGCATGCCCAGTCCCACCCGCCCTCCCACAACATAAGAAGCAAAGCTGGCACAACTGGGGGCCGAAGTCACACCGGCCAGCCGGTTTGGTACAGCTGATGCGGCCGCGATGGCGGTTGCCGACGGGAACTGGCGAGCGCGTGTTGAATGCCGCGCACGCATTGCCAGACGAGTCGAGAATGGCCCGGTACACCGCAGGAAGCCAGAGGTGGCCGGATGAAACCCGACGGTCCGACAGGACACCCCGAAGCATTTTTGTGAAAAGGCATTAGGTTTTTGATGTTTTTATGTTGAAATGCTTGCAAAAACACGGTGTTCGGTACGATTCTGACATGAACGCGCGAGTGTGCTCTTTGTGGTATTTTTTGCACAGGATTCGCGGCCTGGGTGCATGACAGAGCATCGCGGGTGCACCGCGCGATGACGTGAAATCGCTGGATTTGACCGAATTCTTAAGATTCCGATGGTTTTCCTATGATTTCAGCAAGAGAGCCCGGGCGGGAAATTTGTGCAACTTTTGTGAAACAAGCATGGGGTTTTTGATGTTTTTATGTTGAAATGCTTGCAAACACACGGTGTTCGGTAGGATTCTGACATGAACGCGCGCGTGTGCTCTTTGTGGTATTTTTTGCAATGGATTATCGCCGTGGACGACAGGACGTCCATGTCGAGAGGAAAAAATAAGAAAACTGTTGATTTTGTATTGTTTTTTTACAGGTTAGGATGGGACCACCCGGATGCGCCCGCTATCTGCCGGCCTGAGGGGGAGTAGGAGTATATTCTAATAAGGAATAAGGATCGGAGGAGGAGGAGGAGGAGGAGGAGGAGGACTCTGCTGGACTCTGCTGAGCGCCGCAAAGCGGCCGATCAATCACTGTCATCATCCACCGCTGACGCTCCGCCACGCTGCTGCCCAGGGCCTCCGCTGCCGCACGAGCACGACTCTCGAGGCCTCGCAGCCACCTCCCTCAAGGCAGCGGCGGCAGCAGACGGGCCAGCGGCAGCAGCACGGGGCGCCTCATCGTAGCGCATGGTGGCCGCCGTGTCGCTCGGGTGGCGTCTCGACGCCACTCTCAGGTATTCATCTAACAGATCATGATCAGAATCCCTCCCCTCAACCTCCGAGCCACGAGCAGGTGAGGCCTTCCACCAGGGGCCCGCAGGCGGGGAGGGAACATCGCACAGCGTCTTCTGTCTGGGCAGCCATCACAGACACAGGTGGGCCACGATAGCTCGGAAACAAACCTTTCTGAATTCTGCGCAAATTCTCCCCTCCTTTGCGGGTGGGTGGGGGGGGGGGGGAGCACACACCAGACAACTGCCTAGCATCAGCAGTGGCCGTGCGACCACAAGTCATACAGAAGAACAGACCATATGCTTTCATCTTGGCGAGCTGGTGGCTGGGATGCAACAAAACTCCACCAACTCGCACTTCGCCTGAGGCCGCCTCGAAACCCTCACCATGCTCCGCAGGCAGGCCAGTGTTTTCAGCCGCGTCCAGCTGCGGGGCGAGGGACTGACCAACACATTGGGTCGAGGCGACCTGGAAAAGCTTACTACGCGGGATAATATCCTTGCACAACTTACACCTCCAGCGCCCCGCAAAGGGCACAAAGACATGGGAGCTCCTGGCCAGGGCCGTCTCCAAACGGGTTGGCCTACGCTGCTGACGCTCGCGGGCAGGTCTCTCGCCAACCCAAGGTTCAACCTCGAGCGCCATCAGCAGAGCCCTCCGAGCTCTGAGCCTCACCAGTGCCGCCGTCGTATCCCACAAGTCGGTACGGGGAACAGGGGGCGTCACACACCACTCCCAGGCCCATTGGGCCGCGGCTCCAGCCCAGGCGTCGGCACAGGCGTTGCCCAGGCTCAGGAACAAATCGAATTCAGTCTTGACCAACTGTAACTCGTCCTCCCTATGGGAGGGGGTCCACAAAACAGAGACCTCCCCAGGGCCGCGGGTCCTCAAAGCGGTGCCGATACGGACCCAAAGGTCCCCGTTAAGGCCCCGAGGAAACTTGGCACGGCCGTTGTGCCAGTCAGCAGTCAAACTCTTACAGTCGGTCACGTAGCAGATCGGCCCCCTCGAGCTCTCAAGGGCGAGACAGAAAGCCTGCAGCTCAGCACGCGGAACAGTTTGCTTCCTACCCGAGAGAATCTGAGCAACCCCGCAAGCCGGGCTCCAGAAAGGCGACGAGGCATCCTGACACATAACGACGATAGCCGAGCCGCATCGCCTCCGACGGGGATCCGAACTGTGCTCGCCTCCAGAACCGTCCCCAAAAATGTAAAGGGGGGGAGCTCCAGGGGCCACACAGTGATCAAGAAACGCCCCCTCCCCAAGAAGGACCTTTTGGGCCGCCTCAGAGCTCTCCACAAACTTGGGCACCACAAGGTCCTTCGGGGGCACTCCGCGAAGCCATAACGCGGGCTGCGCGTCCAGGCTCGCGAGGGCTTGGGGGACCAGAAAATCAGTCTTTGCAAAATCTTCGTGCCCGCAGTTAGCTGGGCACGTCCAAATACGGTGCGCTAAAGTCTCAGGCTTTTCTTTACAACGGGGGCACAGCAGCGGGCAGGCATAACCTGCGGCGATCTGCCTATCACGAGTCCACTGGCCGCCGCTCACCACGGCGACATCCGCCGACCACTCGTCGAACTGCATCCGCTTGGCGAAGCGGTTCAGCTCGATGGTCACAGTCGTCAGGTCGGCGCCGTCCACCAGATCGTCGCCAGCCGCATGCTGAGAAGCTGACTGCCACTGCTGCGCAACACAATCATCCATGAAGGCGCCCAGCATGTCATCAAAGTGGGCCAGCACCGCCGTGCCGAACTGCTCGTCACCAAAGGAGGGGAAAATCCAATCATCAATCGTGCCGTCTGCTAAGGGGCGAGACCACACCAAAGGCGACTGGGGGTCCCAACCAACTTGCAGCAAAGTCGCTTGCAGTGCAGCTATCGGGCCACGAACATCCTTCCAACAGACGGCCTTGCCACGCTTGAGTCTCGCCAACACGATGGGCCACACCTTGCAGATCCGTGGATGAAGGCCAGGCTGTGACAACCACAAGGCCACCCATTCACGAAGCAGCTGGCGGCGTAAATCGACTCCAGGCTCAGAAGTGCCATAGATCGCCTGCAGCACGGTGGTCAGGCACCGTCCCCGCTTCGTTCCAGCCACTGCTGCAGCTGCATCGCGTCGCATGGCCAACAGCGTAGTAGGAGGGGTTCCCATCAGCTGATGACCAAAGACGGACGCAGGGTACACGCCCGTCGACCAGAGCTTCTTCGTCACAAAGCGAAGCTTCGCCAGGCGCCTGACCTTCATCACTTTACGTTGCCTACGTCTTGCCTGGGCGCGGCGCATCATCATCCTGGCAGAGGCCCTCACCCTGGCTGCGGCAGCGTCGGAGCCCAAGTCCACCGTGGCACGCGCGAACTCCACAGGGATGCCCTTGCGGCGCAGCCGCTTCTCCAGCTCCGCGCCAAGGTCGTCCGAGCTCGCCACCAGCTTCGTCTTGGTGGAGATCTGAAGACGGAGCTCACTAAGGCCGCCTGCCATGACATCGGCCGTCGCCTCGAGGTCACGGATGACCTTCTGCTTGGTGCCCTCTGCGCGGCCAACAGTGTCGTCTATATAGCTCCACAGGCCAGCAGGAGGGACCTCACGATGGACGGTATCCAACAGCCGATGCAACATCACCTTAGCCAGAGGTACTCCGAGCCCAGACCCCGCGACGATCGACCTGGTGACCTCCACCGCCTCCGTGATCATCTGGCCCTTCTTCAAAAGGCGCGGAAAGGAGTAGAGGCCTATCTCCAGCAGCAAAATAATCGGCGGGAATCCAATCTGCAGGCCGGCCTGCATGAGCAATACAAAACTCACCGAGTCGTAGAACTTAGTCAAATCTAAGAAAAGCGTCGCATACTCAAAGGCCAGCTCATGGGCCCCCTCGTCCATCACAGCACGAATCAGCGCCGCCCGTAAAGCGGACGATCCAGCAATAGCTGTATCCCAGAAAGCAGAAAGCGACGCAGACCACTCCCCCGAAGCACGAGAGCGGATCTTGGACCACACCTTCTGCGGCATGGGAACCAGCCCCAGCACACGGCAGCCCCCCGCCTCCTTCGGGATGGCCGCACCGAGGACACTGCTGAGGCTGGAAGGCCATACCCCTGCTGCCTCGATCGCGTTCAAGGTGTCCACGAAGGCCTGACGAGCTGCATCAGGTTGCCGTTGAATGTCCAAGGGGCTCAGAGCATCAACGCCCTTGGCCTTCTTTGCAGGGATCTTCGGCAGCACGGCATCCAGGTCCAGCAGAGTGATGGTGGGCAGAGGGTCCTCCCTGGCAGCGTCCAAACACTTCTGCATCATCGCCAGAACGTCCTCGGGCGAGTCGACTGGGTCGGTCCACATCGTCTGCCACTCCTTCGCCAGACCTTGCAGCATTGCCTGGTTGTCAGAAGTGACAGTGCCCCAGGAGTCCTTACTTTCCCAAACTGGGGCCTCAGTTGGTTTCACGTGTCTGTGCACGGCCCCAGGTTTGCCGACCACATCTCTTGGACCCATTTCATAAAGGCGGACCTGGAGGCCATCATGGCCCGAGCATTTGACAGATCAGCCCACCTGCGAGTTCTCTCCAGTAACTCAGGTAAGGAAGAAGCGTCGACCAGGTCCAGGCTGTGCACCATGCTCTTCCAGACGAAGACCTCCTGAGGGTCCTGCTTCTTGCCAAAGAACAGCTCATCAGACTTGCCGTCCAGCTGCTCGATCAGGTGCCGAGCCTTCACGACGCACTGGGCCGCCTGGTGCGGGTCAGAATCGTTCCTCACCAAGGCCACGTAGCGCGTGACCAGCGTGCTGACAAGGCCCCACCACTCAGCCTGCTCATTGCGCATGTGAGCACGTCCAGGAGTCGAACGTACCAACTTCCAGCAACAGGCAGGGCCACGAGCTCGGCCTGAGTACTGCTTCCACTTGTCAGAGTCAACCTTCTCATGCAGGAGCACAGCCCTCTCCATGACCGTGACCCAATGGTTGTGCAAAGCATCGACCCGCGCACGGCCCTCAACTTGCCAGCGGAAACCGAAGTGTCGTGCGGGGTCGTAAGGAGCATGATGACCCAGAAATCCAGCAGGGACCTGGCCATGCGGTTCAGGAACGCCTTCCCAGTAGATCTGAGTCGTGGCCTCGTCCCAGGTCTCATCAGAAATCGCAAAAGCCACATCGCTGGCGACGTCAGGTCGACTGCCCCCAGAGTCGGTACCCTCAACCCCCGTTGGCCCAGCGGGCATGGGTGGCGAGCAGTGCGTGCTCTGGGGGCCCCCAAAGGACGTCATGCCATCGGGCCCCTCCATGGGCCCAAAGAAATCGTCGAACAAGTCCTGCATCTCTGTTGGAAGTTGCTGCAACTTGCGTTCACGAGCGGCAGCCTTACGCTTCGACGTCTTGCTGTCTGGGTCAGCGACCGCACGAGGCCTCTCTCGAGACGGCAGCGGCTGCGGCAGCACGAGCTGACGGTACCAGCGCTGGGTGCGTGCTGCCTTCACCGAGATGTGCACCCCGCAGTGAGTCTTCCACGGCACCGAAAGATCAGGGCTCAAAGTCACTTCAGGAAAGCCACGACCCACCAAACCATAGTCGTACATTCTGCCAGGACCCTTATCGCATGTAGTGAGACACGTCGGAGTGACCACCCGAGTGCCCAAGCGTTCAGGCCAGCCCGATTGCACAAAGGGCCCTGGCTCGATATTCCAATCAGCCATGATCAAGAAGGGGTCCGCCAAGGAGCGGACGAAGGAGCCCAGCGCCACGAGCACCTCGTTGTTCCAGCCCTTCACCCCCAGGCCGGGCTGGAGGTAGGCTGAGATCAGCACCAAATTGCCAGCACGGGTGTGGAGCACCAGCGGCACGAACCCGCGGCAGGGGTCCAACCTGCCAGCCTCCAGCGACGCGCGGCGAACACTCTCAAAGCTCGTCGCAGCGATGTGCTTCTTTGTCAATATCCACTCACCGCCAGAGAGGCCCGTCTCCGACTTGCCCGATGGCCGAGCAGCCGTGTGGGTGACCCTCCAGCCATCCTTGTCCAAGCCCGAAAGGATGTCGGGCATATCATCTGGTCCTTTGTGTGTCTCGCAGAAGGCCACCACGCTGCGCGCCGACTCCTGAGACAAGAATCGCGCAGCTTGCGGCCCCCACTCCGTGATGTTGCCGAAGAGGATGGACAGCGAGTCATCCTCAGGATCAGGTAGGTCTTCAGAAGCCAGCAGCGCTTCGCCCCGCTGCCAGGGGCGCGGCGCCTCCCTGCTAGGAGCCCGCGGCCCCAGCAGCAGGAGGGGCAGCATCAGCACCTTGGCCACCAGGCTTGGCAGCAGCCTTGGCACGGGTTGCCGCCTCCGCCTGGACCCTCGAGTTGTCCTGGAACTTGGCGCGCATGTCCCTGCGCACCGCGTCGGAGACGGCGGGCGCGGCCGCGCTGCCCTGGCTGGCTGCCGCAGTGGCGCCGCCTGGGCCTGCAGCGGCCGCGGGAGGGACGCCTCCGCCGTCTCCGTCACCGCGGACTGCACCACCATCCTCGTCACGACGACGCCGCTTGGTGGCAGCCTCCTTGTGGGCGTTCTTCGCCTGGTCCAGCAACAGCTGGAACTCCTTCTGCTTCTCCGACGCCTGCTTAGAGATCTCATCCAGCTGCTTCTGGAAGTTCTCCAGCGCCGTCCTGTCCGACTCCTCCAGCTCGTCCAGCGCCGCGAACAAGGCGGGGTCGACCTTGAACGTGATGCCGTCGGGCTTGTCAGGGGGCGTGTCGACGCGCTCCTGGGCCTGCAGGCGCGCGCACTCCGCCTCAACCATCTCATCAGTGGCCTTCTCCCAGGCCGCGGTCGCCTTCGCCAGCTGCTGCTTGGCGCTCTCGACGGCACGCGCAGCCCTGTCCAAGGCGTCCTTCTTGCGGGAGCACTCCGCCGTGGCCGCCTTGAGCACCGAGTAGGCTGGCTTGGGCGCGACAGCAGGCTTCTTTGCCGCCGCCAAGGCCCCGAGCTGCGTCGCCAGCTGCGCCGCCTCGGGATCCGCGCCCAGGCCAGCAGACTGCAACGCCTTGGCCATGTAGTCGTCCAACGTCGGCGCGGAGGGAAGCTTGGGCCAAGCGGACTGCCCCCCCCACCACGGGGCGTACCACGTGCCGTTCGCCGAGGAAGTCCACCCAGGCATCTGCGTGCCACAGATGGCGCAGGCACCCTTCTGTCGCTTGAGGCGCCAATTCCACGCCCAGTTGCCGCAGCACGTGCACGTGGTGAACGCGTCCTTGCTTCCACCGCCCATCTGATGCTCCTGCAGGAGCTCACAAGGTGTTGCTCCAGCAGGAGCTCACAAAATCGCTGAAGACTGCCGCGGACTAGCGGTATCCACGTGTTCCCCTGTGGAACAAGCATCTTGAGCCAAAATGGCTACGGCGGAGGAGGAGGAGGAGAAGGACCAGGAGCAGAAGGAGGAGGAGGAGGAGGAGGAGGAGCTGGCGGGTCAGCGCTGGGATGCCACCACCCTCGCCACCGTGCGGCCTCTCGGTCTAAGTGGAGTGCCCCCCAAGGTGAGCGTGTTTTTTATTCGGCGTTTCGACATTTGGCGGAAAGAGGGGGGGGGAGGGTGGAGGGTCTGGCTCTCGACCTCTGCTTAGTGCGACTGTTTGGAACCGTGCCTCCCCTGGGGGAGGACTCCACCTGCTTGAAACAGGCGCCAAACACAGCCAAGACCTACTCTATGTGGGGGGGAGGGGGGGGGGTGCGAAGGCCCGCGCCGATCGGCAAAACAATACATAAACAAACGACCACAAGGGTCACAACTGTGCTGCCGTATCCCAAACTGGGCCCAGAACTCTGGGGTCCCAGACCGTTCCGGGGCCTCGCCCGTGAGTTCGGGCATCTTCTGACCAAGGTCAATCCAGACCCGGGTCAGTCAGGCCTTGCAGAGTCCTGAAAGATCCTGCATCCGGACCTGGGTCCACGCGAAGACCTGCAGGATCCTGCACCCGAGCCCGGGTCAGTGCGGCCCTGGCCCTGCAGGATCCTGTCTCTTGCGGACCCCCATTTGCACTGACCCCTGTCTCTTGAGCAGGGACCAACCGCCCGGCATACCTATAGTCCTACCACGACTTGTTCTTAGAACCCCCACATGTTCTCATAACAACAGCAATGGTCTTAGAACATACACCCGCCCTGTTCAAACAAGACAAGGCTCCGCAAGACATGTTCTCAGAACATGTCGTGCAAACCACAAAAGGTTCTTAGAACATTACTTGGTGGGGCTATAGGCGAGCCAAGACGCTTCGCCACTTCTCTTGAGCCCCGGTGAACTCTGGGGCGTGCCCCGCCTGTCCTCTGAAAACGCTGCGCCCGTCCGGAGAAGGACCTCCCGAACCCTCCGGCGCAACGTGCCTTAAAATGGGTCCCCCTCCTCGCCGGCCAAGCTGGCCGCCAGACGGCCCAAGAGGCCTCCAAGTCGGCCCAAAGAGGTCTCCTCGAGTGTGCCCAGGAGGGCCCCAAGAAGAGGCACACATCACTGGTTGTGCTTTTCGTTTTTGACAAATTTTTGGGCGACTCCGCCTCGCCGACCAAGATGGCCTCCAGACGGCCCAAAGAGCTCTCCTAGAGTATGCCCAGGAGGTGTGGACGTAGGTTGACAACCGAAGAGTCGAACCTATTGCGTTGTCCGTTGGTGGAGGCAATTTGGAAGACAGGGAAGAACCCTTTTCCCATGCGCCGCGGGCGAGCGGCGCGAGTCCTGTCTAATAGGACTGTCCAGTACCTCAGCCGAGACAGTAGCAGGATAGATGGGTCGAAAGGTGATATGAGCGGACTTCACACACAGGTGGGCCCCAAGAGGCACACATCATTGATTGTCCTTTTGTGCTTTTGGAAACAACTTTTGGGCGGTTCCGCCTCTTCCGGTTCCTGGTTCCCGAGGCTCCAAGACGGCCCACGAGGCCCCCGAGATCGCCCCAAGAGGCCCCAAAGAGTGCACTCGAGAGTCCAAGTGGCCTCCATGGCGGCTCAAGAGGGCCCCAAGAACGCCCCAAGAGGGATCCCAGAGAGGGAGGGCCCCGAGGAGGCCCAAGAGGCCCAAGATGCGACGAAGAGGGCCCCAGGAGGCCCCCAAGAGGCCCTCAAGACCCCCGCCCCCCCCAAAAAGGCCACCGAGCGCACTCCGAAGAGACATCGAGAAGCATCCGCGAGGGCTCCGACCCACAACCCGAGCACAGCTGCGGGATGGGCCGGAGGCCACTCGATTCGCCGCCCCTTGTTGATTTGTCACAGGTCACAAGGGGCGCCTGGCGTGATGGACGTCTCGGTGGTTTTCAATTTTTTTCTGGAGAGCTCCCCGTTGGGGCTTCGGACCGGCCCGCCGGTTGCCCCTCCCGTCGGCTTTCTCACTCAAGACGGCCTCCAAGACACCTCCAGGACGGCCAGCATGGCCCCAAGAGGGCCCACGATAGCTCCAAGATGGCCTCCAAGACGGTCCCAGGATGCCTCCAAGACTGCCAAGACGGTCCGAGAGAGCCCAAGACGGCCCCAGAAGCGCCCGAGAGGCCCCGAAGATGGCCCGAGAGGCCCCCAAAGCCCTCCAGGAAGGCCCGAAGATGCCAACTTCATTGATCTTCCTACGGCTTTTTTGGTAGGAATTCTGCATTTGCTTGTGTTCGGCCTTCCGACGGCACCAGTCGGTCCAAGAGGCCGCCAAGATCGCCTCAGAGGCCTCCAAGATGGCCTCAGGACGATCCAAGAGGCCCCCAAGACGGTCCCGAGAGGCAAGACGGCCCAAGAGGCCTCCGAGACCCCCAACATTGCCTCCCAAACGGCCCTTGCGCGCCCCAACCCCAAGACGGCCCGGAGAGGCCCCCACGACGGCATCCGACGGCGTTGGACAGGCCTGGCACACCCTACGCCGGCCAAAGAGGCCCCCACGAAGCCCCCAAAGGCCTCCAAGAGGCCCAAGGAGGTTCCGAAGAGGCCTCCAAGAGGCCCCCAGGGAACTCTTAGGAGGCCCCAAGAATGACTCAAGTGGCTCCCAATAGATCTCCTCCTCCTCCTCCTCCTCTCCTCCTTCTCCTTTTCCTCCCTCTCATCATCCTCCCCTTCCTCCCCCAGGTGTTCCCCGAAGGGCTTCCACAACGCTGGGGGAACGGCATGGCCCAGCAGCGTGGCCTAACTTTACCCAAACGTTCGGCCACAAAGGCAGGGGGCGGCGGTGATTCACCGCAGGCGTTGTCGACAAGTCCTCCCTGTCGCACCACCAGACGCGTCGTCAGGGTTGCCTGGGCTCTTCGCCAAAGACTGCCTCACACCTTGCGAGATCGAAGCGTGACCTCTCCAGTCGTTGCACGGATGGAAGGCGGGACATTTTTTCATGGAGCTCGCGCCTTGGTGCCGTGCGCAATCGTTTTGGGTGAACCAAGAGGGGGTCCAGCTGAAAAGGGGTGGTGCAATGGATTTGGGGCAATTGGATTGCAAACGTATTGCGCCAGAGAATAGTATTGCATAAGATTGCAAGTAATGCGTTGCACGCGAAAATCCTGCAATACATTTGCGCCCCGGAATGTATTGCACGCCCCAACTGTATTGCAGCCCCACAAACCTATTGCATCGCATCTATTGCACCACCCCCTCGTCGCTGACCCCCTTTTGGGTCAAACCGACTCGTTTTCTGCACATCAAGCGCTCGTTCGGACGGAGGACGGATAGTTTTCAAATTCGGGGCTCTCGCCGTGGCGCCGCGCGCGCTCGCGATCAGACATTGCCGGCAGGCACGCGGATGGAGGGGCACTGAGGTTCCAAAAGAACATTGGTAGCTTCAATGGGAGGTGGAGAGGAGAAGAAGGAGAAAGACGGAGGAGACAAGCCGAGCAACGCACGCGCCAACCTTCCATACGCGAGCTGTTGCGCGCATTCGCGGCGCGGGGAAACGGGATCACTCAAAATTTTATACGCCTTAATGTTCAAAATTGTCAAGTTAATAGATCTGCAACGGAAAGAGGAGGTAGGAGGTAGGGAGAAGACAACTGATGGGACCAGAGGGGGAGAGGGGCATAGTTGAGCGCGCGGGTCGGGCGCGGAGAAAACAAATCGTACCACTCCTAGCTGAAAATGCCTGAGCACTCAGGGCAACGCATGACAGGAAATGAAACCTGAACTTATCAGACCACAGGCTGATGCACCAGGAAGGGGGGGGGGCAATGGTAAGCCTGTAGAACAACAGCAGTGGTGCTTCTACATGAGCTGGGGCTCGAGTTCTTATGTCCGTCCCGCGCTTTCATTGCTTGCTGCTCCGAGCCCGCTGCGCCAACTGCCGACGCCCAGCCCGCGGACGGTCTGCAGAGCCGCCCAACGGCTCGAGGAGGCTGATCCTCGGCGAGCCTGGGGGGGAAGTGGGAGGGAGAGGGCCTTCTCAGAAGGCTCGGGAGTCCCCGGGCCTTCCGAGAAGTTTCCTAAGCCTGCTCCGAAGACACGCAAAACTTCTGAAGGCCAGAGGGCTTCTGCGAAGTCCCGCCGCCTCCCGATACGCCCTTCTCCCTCTCACGCCCCCCCCTCGCTCGCCGCCGAGATGAGGACCACGACGACCGACGACGACTACAGTCGGACCTAGGCCAGAAGAGCATCCCTCAAGAACATCAGACCCTCTGGCGGCCAAAACACGTAGAACATCCAAGGGCACCCTCCCCAGGATGCGCAAGAGCATCCAACAGACACGAAGATCGCTAAGGCAACCTCCCCGAACCGACCTCGGTCTTGAGCCTCGGTCCGACTGTACGACGATGACGAACGACGAGGACAGCCGACGGATGGACGACGACGAGGTCGGCGACGGCGGAGGCGGCGGCCGTCGCCGTCCTGCATCCACGTCATGAACACGGGGTTGGACGCCTTGACGCCGTACGTGGCCTGGGGCGCACGCGTGCCGTGCGCCTCTCTCCTCGCCCTCCCGGCCCCTCCTCCTCCCAGCCTCCTCCCAGCCTCCTCCTCCTCCTCCTACTCCTCCTCTTCGTCCTCCTCCTCCTCTCGTCCCCCTTCTCCAGGAGAGCCCAGGATCGAATCGATACGTCGGGCCGGCGATCGACATGAGTCGGATCGGCAGACATCGGCAGCCAAGTCGGGAGACGTCGGATCGGCGGAAATCGGCAGGCTAGTAGGCCTCCATTGAGAAATCGGATCCTCAATCGGAATCCGAGGTCGAATCGAATCGGGATCGGAAGCCATTGAAATCGAATCGAATCGCATCGGAGGAGTCGAAACGAACCCTGGCTTCTTCTTCTGGAGGTCTTCTTCGAAGGCAGATACGGCCACACACGCCCGAAACCTCCTGGGTCCTCCAGCCTCGATCCGCCTCCTCCTCCTCCTCCTGCTACTTCCTCTTGTCGTAATAACCTGTGCTAGGATCTTGATGCTGTAACTCCACTGGTGAACAAGACCGTCTTGATGCTGTAACTCCACTGGTGAACAGAACCGCCAGCGACACCGCCGGGCGAGGAAGCCTCCCCAGAACTCCCCCTGGCACCATCCTCCGTCCTCCCTGGCCCTCCTCCCTCCCCACGGCCGCCCACCTCAGGGGGCCACATGCGAACCCCTCCCCCTACCCCCCGCGATTTCTGATGGGGGAGGGTGGGGTTCACTCCCGTGCGGAGTGAAACCCACCCTCCCCCTCAGAAATCGTGGGGGGCAGGGGGAGGGGTTCGCATGTGGCCCCCTACACTCTCCCGGAGCAAAAATGGTTGGCCATCAGGGGGCCCGCCCTTCCTCCCAGGTCTTTGGCATGCGCCTCCGGGCCCGCGGAGGGCCCCGGGAGAGCTCCAGAACGGCGCAGGAGTTCCAGGACTCTCTCTCCTCCTCCTCCTCCTCCTCCTCCTCCTCCTCCTCCTCCTCCTCCTCCTCCTCCTCCTCCTCCTCCTCCTCCTCCTCCTCCTCCTCCTCCTCCTCCTCCTCCTCCTCCTCCTCCTCCTCCTCCTCCTCCTCCTCCTCCCTCGTGTGAGCGCTGTTGTATACTCGGCATCTCGGCATTGGGCGGCAGGGGGGGGGTCTGGTTCCAGACCTCTGCTTCAGTGCGACCGCTTGCAGGCGTGCGGCCTCTGGGGGGAGACTCCACCCGCTCGAGACAGGCGCCAACCAAACAGCCAAGATCTGCTCCAGAAGGGGGAGGAGGGGAGGGTTGGGGGCCCACGCCGATCGGCAAAACAATGCATTACTCACTGCGTGGAGCTCCCCATATGTGCATCGATTCGCATGGACCTGTCCGCCGTGAATGTCTCGGCGCAAGAACTTTCGAATATAAGCGGGCTTCGGTTGTGACGGTCTGGACATGAATCTAACAGCGAATGAATTGGAGTGTGAATGAGCCTCAGTAGTACGAGCGCGTCTCTGCGCATGAGCCTGGGGCCTCCTGGGGCCTCCTGAAACCTACTGGGGCTTCCTGTGGTCTCCAGGAGCCTCTTGTGGCCTCCTGGGACCTCCTAGGGAGGTTTCGTGCCCCAGGAGAGGCCCAATCTATAGCAACAGACGTACATAAACATTGCGGATTAGAGCCACATTTTTTAATGACAAGGCAGCCCGTGCAGCACGAACCGGTCCTGCCGCCAAAATGGCGAGCCGCAAAATGCGGCGAAGAGGCCCGCAAACAGCGGCCTCCGAAAGCAGCGCGCACGCCGCGCTGCATGGGTATGCGCCGTCAGGTGAGGCAGCCGCACGAGCCACCATCCACCCCGTGCCGAGCCTGAACAGGCTCAGACCACCGAAGGCACTCCCCAACTCAATCACTTAGGCGCTTGCCCGTCTTTGGGTCCAAGCCCGCCCTGATGTTAGCGACCTTCAGGTTGCGCAGGCGCAGCGCATTGCCTGAGGCTGCGACGCACGTCTTGCCGAGCGTCCCGTGCTTGCCATTGATCTCCTTGGCGTACGCCTTGCAGCGCGTGCAGATCCTGAAGCCGTTGATGCTGAGGAGCGCATGGCCCACAACTTCGGCTTCCTGGGTGCCTGATCCCCCAGGCTCGTCCACCTCCATGGCGTCCTGGGCGACCGTGGGGCCCGCGCCCGCCCGGCCGCCAGCGGGGCCCGCGCGCAGGGCGCCCTGAGCCTCGCGAGCTGCGCGGGCGGCTGCCACCGCACGCATGAGAGCAGCTCCAGGCGAGAGGTCCTGGCCGCTGCTGCTGCTGCTGCTGCCCCCGCCAGCCGCTGACGCCTCTGCAGGCTGCTCGCGTGCGGCGCGGGCGGCGCCCACTGCGTGCATGAGGGCGGCGCCAGGCGAGAGGTCCTGGCCGCTGCTACTGCTGCTGCCTCCGCCTGCCGCTGCTGCCTCAGCTGGAGGCTCTCGAGCGGCAGCGACGGGGCTCGGCGCCATCTGCTGGGCCTCTGGCTCGGAGGACACCACAATCTCGTCGTCCTGCGTGCTCTGGGCCTCCTGCTCAAGCCTGTGCGCCGCTGCCAGCGCCACCGCCACCGCGCCTGCAGACGCCAGGGCCGAAGCAGCTGGCTTGCGCCTCGCGCCGCTTGCCACGGGCGCGAACGGCTTGCCAACGCATGGGTCCTTGAGCAGCCTCTTGATGCTGAGGTCGGCGTAGGCCGTCTTGAGGCAGGCCCTGCAGTGCACGCCGTCGCCAGCCACCTTGACCACGTCGTGCCTGGTGACGCTGAGAGGCGGCCCTTTGTGAATAGGCTTGCAGTTCGGGTCGATGTCCAGCTTCAGGTCAGCCGCCTCACACCCAGCGCGCGCGACCCAGTGCACGACCCCGTCCAGCGTGAGAGACCGCCGTTGCCAGGCTTCACGCAGCTCGAGTGGTGCCCTCACTGCGGCAGCGACTGCCTTTGCAGCACGGTCGGCCTCCCAGTTGCCACGCCTGTCGCGGGCCGTGATGTCTCCTTTCTGAACCGTGGCCTCAGAGGCATGCGCCTTCACCTTCTGAATCGTAAGCCCCTGGGGCCCAATGCCGCCGAAGTCGTCAAGCGCCGCCCAGACTCGCCTCCAGATGCACCCCCAGGCAGAAGTCGCCTTGGTGGTGCTGGCTTCGCCCCTCGCCGTCAAGCCTTTTGTCGCATACGTGGCGTCGAAGGCCGCTGTGATCGGGGGCAGGCTGTGGCGGAGGAGCACCAGACACCCCAAGAGCTCGGCCCCGTCGATGGACTGCAAAGGCCCAGGCAAGGGAGTGCCTAGCGCCTTAACGGCCGCCTCAGGTCCAGGGTCCCAGTCGTCACCGCCGTCGGGCAGCTGCACCATTCCGCAAGCCCCCACCGCCAGCGATGTCCCAGCGTCGTAGACCGCTCCGTCGGAGTAGACCGTGGTGTTGGAAAACGGGAAGCCGTCGCCACCCTTGAGCCACTGCACGTGCGCGAGGAGGTCGTCTCCAGGCGGGCGCCACTCGTGTAGGGGCTCGGGCAGGACCAGCCTCTCCAGGAGCGTAGTGATGGTCACGCTGGTGCTGAAGGGGACGAGCTTGCTGATCTCGGCTGGCAGCGTCAAACTCGGCCAGCTGTCCTGGCAGGCGGTGTGCCTGTGCCAGAGAGTGCCAGGCTGCTCTGGGTGCAGCTGGCAATACGGCGTGTGCGAGAGCCGCGGAGCCCCGTGGTACCTCCTGCTGTTCGGCCACTGCCCGAGGACGAAGACCGAACGCGCGTATCCTCGCTGGCTGCAGTTGAGAGGCTCCCAGCCTTTGGCCAGGCTGGAGCTTCCAACACCCTTGGCAAACCACCGCCGCATCTGCGAGACGAAGATGCCACTGCGAACATCAGCGTGCGTGCCGTCTGCCAAGAGCTTCATCTGCCACGCCTTCACGTCCATCGTGATGCACTGCTTGGCATACCACGGGGAGACCTCCAGTAGGTTGATGATCGTACCATTCGGCCTGACGGTGCAATCGAGCGCCCTGGGGTCGTAGCCGATCCTCCTCAGGGACATGACCACTGCGCCAAGCGGCCCGCGTACGTCTGCCCAGCAAGTAGTTGACCTCGCTGCCCACTCGAAAGCGGGCATGAGCTGCCCCAGCGGCACCCACTTCTCCCACACAGCGCGCGCCAGCGTGAAGCAGGGCGCCAGCGTAGCTGCAAAGAGAGGGTCGATGGTGGGAGAGCCCCCCACCAGCAAGCACGCCGTGAGCGACTTCCCATAGGGATTCGGCTCAATGGCGTGCCGCACAATGCTACGCGCCTGCTGCAGCTCCGTATTGTTGAGCCCCGTGCAGTTGATCCCGTAGAAGAGACTGGGAGCCAGCCCAGTCGATACGATCTTAGCCGCTGTGGCCCTTCCTCTGCGTAGACCCAAGAGCCGTCGGATCCGAGGAAGGCGGAGTCTGTTCTGCGTGATGCGGTGCCGCCTGACGACGCTGGACCGCCTGCCGCCCTCAGTGTAGTCGATGCCGAGGTTGCGCACTTCTCTGACACCGATGGCCCCAGTGGTCGAGCCCAGGTGCCTCTGGAGAGTGGCCCTAAGGCCTCTGCTGCTGGCCAGCACGCGCGACTTCTTGGCGGCAGTGGACAGGTGCACCTTCGCCAACCCCTTCGCCACTGCCTTCGCGGCCATGGTGAGGTCCTTGGCCACTCTCTTCAGGCCACCCCAGCGCTGCAGCACCACGTCGTCGACCACGACCGCAGGTACCACCGTGGGGCAGGCCGCCTTCATCTCGTCGAGCGGCGTCAGAAGCATGACCTTCATGAACGTGGTGGCAAATGCATCCCCAGCCAACACCGTCTGCGTTACCATAAGCTCGTCAGAGCAGCACGACCCCAGGCTGATGACCCTGGGGAGCCGATAGAGGGAGATCTGCAGCTTGGCCAGCCACAGCGGGAAATCGTGCTGCCTGCACGCCTTCTGCAGGTTGCCGTGCAGGATCTGCTCGAAAGCCTTCCACAGGTCCATCATGACTGACGCCGAGGCCCAGTCCTGGCCTCTGTTCAGTTCGCCC